AGGCCCTGTATGCAGACAGTTCAGAGGGCAACTCATTTTGCAGAGATGTGGGGTGGGGGCTGTGCACACATGCACATGCTAACGGATGCTTGATAAGCATCCTGGTGTCTTTGGTCCTGAGCAGGGGAAGTTGTGCAACTGAGCCCAGTAACCCTGAGAGTGCACGTCATCACAGGGTTAGACCTTTGTGCCTGCCCTGCCTGTCTCTCTGGCCCTTTTCCCGGCTCCACCCCAGCTCTCAAATGCCCCAACCACACCGAAACATTCACCATGTCCTGATTACACCCTGTCCTCCCTGGCTCCAGGCTTACCAAACTGCTCCTTCTTCCTGCAACGGCCTCCTCTCCTCTCCTTCTCCCCCCATCCCCTGGCCCACACCAACTTGTCCTTCTGTCAGCTCAAAAGTCACCTCCTCCAGGAAGCCTAGGAACCCATGACCTAGACTGAACTAGATGCCCCTCACTCCAGCCCCAGGCCCCTGGTCTTCCCTCTTTGCAGCACTCACTGCCACCGTGCATCGTGATCCCATGTGTCTGCCCACACGGTGGTAAGCGCCTCGAGGGCAAAGACCATCTTATTCATCTAGCAGAGCTCCAGATGCGTAGTAGGTCATTCATAATTCGCTTATCCCATAGCCACTTACCTAAGTGCCCAACAGATGTCAGGCAAGGGGCATCCAACAGGGATGACACAAATAGCACCTGCCTCCCGGGTCTCCTCTCTACAGAAGGAGACAGGAGAATCGACACAGTCTGATAGATGCTTGGATGGAGAAGACAGGGCCTTCCAGGTGCACAGAATAGGGATGGGGTGTGGGCAGCGTCAGGAAGGGCTTCAGAGAGGAAGAAATGCCCAAGACGAGGCTGAAGGAGTGAATGAATACATAAATGCAACTACCAGAACTGGAATCCAAGATCTGAGCTGAACCAACATCCACACTGAATCAGGGCTGAACCCCTGAAATAACGACCTAAGGAGCTTCATTTCTTCCAGGGAAGAGAAGACTGGTTCCCAAGTCCAGGGCAGTGCTGAGCCAGCTGTTGAAGCTTTGGGGATAGGCACGCAGTGGAGCTGGGAGCCAGGCCCATCCTTACATGGGCTTATATTCCTGTCTGTGTCCATAACTGGCTGTGTGACCTTGGGCCCATCTCTGGGCCTTGGGTTTCTTATCTATGAGTATAGGAAGGGGGAGGAGTCTGATCTATAATCCTGAACTGAGAACATGACCCCATTCCATGTTGCATTCCAATGCAACCTTATTTACAGATAAGATTTACCGTGTAGTGATGACTGGGTGCTCAAGATGCAGAGAGAAATTGATCAGAGGGCAACGCGGTCAGGACTGGAACCCTGATGCCAAAGCCTCTGTTTGTTCCTTTTTTCCATGAGGCCATATAACAATTTCATGATGTGTCTGGGACAACTTCACAAAGAAGACCCCTGAGCTGAGACGTGAAGATGGGCAGGAACAAAGGCGTGGGAGAGGAATGGGCCTGGCATGAAGAGGAGGTAGTGGCAGGGAGACCGGCCTGGGCTGGCTGGGGCACAGGAGTCACATCGGAGAATAGCAGGAGATGCAGATGGCTCTGTCTCATGGGACTCAGCAGGGGGAGCAGGGGGAGGAATCAGAGCCCTTGAGTCGCAGTCCAAGCCCCACCAGTCAGGGTGAGGGAGGCATGGCAGGTGGAGTAGTTCCAGCTTCAGCAGGGAAGAGGGCACAACAGAAGAACTGGGACAACCAAGTGAAGCACCCGGTGGCCTGGGCAGTGGACTCCCAGGCTCTGGAAGGTCAGGGGAGTGAGGTGCCAGGAAGGACCCTTACATGAATGCAGATCCAAGACCCTACTATCGGGACTGCATAAAATCAAAGGCCCAGCTACTGAAACAAATGGATGTTGATAAATAATCCCATCAGTCTATTCTGTTGAGCACATATACCAGGCACCGTTCCGGACACTGGGGATACACTGGTGAACGGTTCATATAGAATCTTGGCCCTTGGGGAGCCTGTGTCCTACTAGGGGAGCGAGAAAAATGGATACACTGTAAAATAAAATAAAATGCCAACTGCTATGAATCAAATTAAAATTGCATAAGAGAACAAAGCAATGGAGGCAGAACAATAGTTGTGTTATTTTATACCAGCTCGCCAGGGAGGGTATCTCTGAGGAAGTGGCAGTTGAGCACTGACCTGAATGAGGTACAAGAGCAAGACATAATAGGGTTTAGGGGAAAAGCACTCCAGGTGGAGGGAGCAGCAAGTACAAAGGCCCTGAGGCAGAAACGTGTTTGACATATTGCCACAGGGAGGCCTTTGTGGCACCAGTGTAATAAAATAGAAGGGGGAAAGTGGTAAAAAATGAGTTTGGAAAAGCAGCTGGGGGTCAAATCCCATAGACCTAGTAGACCACAGTGAGCAGTCTGCTGTCAATAACAGAAAAAGTCAACATGCACAGAGCATACCATTGAGTCCAGTACAGTTGGGCAATCAGCAAAATTCGCTAATATTTTTAAAGTGCCTGGGGGGGTTGATCTGCCTATCTCCATTTAACAGATGAAGAAACTTAGGCTCAGAGAGGTTAGGTGGTTTAAAACAAGGCTGCAGAATGAGCAATGGGGCCAGAATGTTAGGGTGACCATATGCTCGTTTGTCCTGAATGGTCCACTGAAGGCTGCTCTTCCAAGGTAATTACTAATAGCATCCTTTTTTACTCTCAGAAGTATCCTGTTTTGGATGATAAATTATATGGTTGCCATTATGAGCTAAACTGTGTCCCTTCAATACTCCTATGTTGAAGTTCCAAGCCCAAATAACTCAGAATGCAACCTTATCTGGAGATAAGTTCTTTAAAAGAGCGATTAAGTTGAAATGTGGCCATTATCATGGGGCCCTAATCCAATATGGCTAGCGTCCTCACAAGAAGAGGAAGAGACACCAGGGATTTGTGAGCACAGAGAAATGAGCATGCGAAGACACAGCAGGAAGGCGTCTATCTGCCAGCCGAGAAAAGAGGTCTCGGGGGAAACCACCCTGCCAGCACCCTGATCTTGGGCTTCCAGGCGCCGGCATTATGAGAAATAAATTTCTGTTGTTTAAGCCTTCCAGTCTGTGATATTTTGTTATGGCAGCCCAAGCAAACTAATACAGCTGCCTTGCCTTAGAGGACTGAAACCCAGGCTTCCGCTCAAGAAAGCCACGTGCTGGCCATTATGCCACACTGCCCTTAGCTGCTGAGATTCTGGGCTATGTATCACTATTGGTCCTGGAATCTGAGCTGGGAGCTCAGCCTGCAAGAGAGGGGAGAGGCAAAGTGATCCAGCTGCAGGGTACAGGCTGGGTGATTGTTATAACAGCCACAATTACACATACATGTGTATTGAACAAGATGTGTATGTACCAGCACATAGGCGTTGAGTCTGTGTTGAATGGCCTGTTATGCCCGGAGCCCCGCTGCCCATAGCATGGCCATCCAGACATGGTAGCTTTGTCACCTGTGTGATCCTGGGCCCTTACATACCGCAGTAAAAGTGCCTGGGTGGGTTACATGCCTAAGCTTTGGAATCACATACATCTGGTTTTGAGTTGTGGTTCTGTTACCTTCTAGCTGTGTGACCCTAGGCAAGAAACTTACTTCTCTGAGCCTCGGTTTTCTCACCTAGAAAAGGACAATAATAACAGTATCTTCATAACAGGGTTGGAGTGAGGACTCAGATAATGCATGCAAAATGCCCAGCACAGTGACTGGCACATAAAAGGCACTCACTCATTAATGTTAGCAATTAGTATTACTAGGTTCTCAGTATGGGTTTGTGGAAGCTCTTGAACTTCTGCCATTTGGGTCTTATCTGTCTTGTTCAACGTCTGCATTCCAGTACTGAGCACAATGCTTCACACATAATTAGAGCTCAATAAAAAATTCAAAGTATTTAATAAAATGACTGAATTAACAGGCCTGTTTTTACAGCTGTAAAATGAGAGGGCTAGCCTAGGAAATCTCTGAGCCCTGCCCCAGCTGAGACAGACTAGGATCCAGGATGATTCCAGGAACACTTCCTCTTAGCGATGCCCCACATTGGCCAGTCCTAGATTCTCCTGTTGACAGCCCATGGGGGCTGGTCGGGCAGAGGAGGAAGTGGGCACCAGTTTCTGTATGGGTTCTCGATGGGCATGAGACAGAGCCCGACTTGCTGCCCAGCTGCTTGGCAGGTTAGGGCTGTTCCAGGCATCACCCAGGAGCCGGTGACTAAGATAACCCCCACCACTGGCAATCCTCTGTCCAGAAAGACACTCGGCCCCAAACAGAGTGGGAACAGCAGAAAGATGATACTATCACCTTGAGTTGGTAAGGTGCTCACTGCAGACAGAAGAGTATACACATGCTAGATCCCCTCTCCAGCCTGGGTTCCCCCTGGGTTTCTCCTGTGACCTCCCCTACCCAGGTTCCAGGGGCATTGCCAGCTGGGAATCCATGACCAGGACTCACAGGTGAGGCCAAGGGCAGTCTGTTGGTGTGGTAGGAAAGGCAGAGGGAATGAAGGAAGCCCTTTCCAGGTAAATGACATGCAGGATTGGAATAGTTGGAGTAACTGGCTACGTCTACCCCATGTCGATTGCTTTTTCCCTGAGCCCTAGAGTTTGCGCTACCAAGAGTAACAGGTCCATGGAGCACTGGAGTTGCAGTCATGTGGGCATTTTACTCCCCAGATGGGCCATCCCCAGGCAAGGAGGAGGGAGCTGATATTTAGGGGTCAGAGGACAATCGGACACACTGACCCTGCAGTGGCCTCCGAGTCCACAAAGGGTAACCCACACGGGAGGCACAGGAAAAACGTGGGGCTGACACTGTATTCTCTAACGACAGCAGGCTGCTCCTCACCCTTCCGGACCAAGGGCCTCAGTGTTCTCCACAAGATGAGCAAAAGTGCATGATGCCACGTAACATCACAACAGTAATCGATTACAAGCTTAGTGTCTGCCTTCCCTTCTAGAATGCAAGTTCCATGAGGACAAGGGCTAGTTCTGTTTTGCTCGCTGTTGTACCTACAATGCCTGTGATGTTGGAGATATTCACCATACTGTTGTGAAAGGGAGGGACAGAGACAGAGGGAGGAGAAATGGAGTCAGCCAAAGGAGGCCCATTTTCGCATCACCTAAGAGGTATGAGGGGCAGAGAGAAGAACCCAGTGTCTGAGTTCCTGCCCTCCCTGACGAGAACACTGTTCTCAGTTTTCAAAGACGGCTGAGAGAGTGGGCTGAAATTGCTGACTCTCCATTGTCAACTGGGAACATGTGTGGAGAAGGCAAGCTTGGCCCCCATCCTGGGGGAAGGTGTGTGCTGGGCTCAGAAAGTACCTTATCTCTTCCCTCTGGCCATCCTCAGGCTCCATGTCCTTCCAATAGGCGCTGGGCAGGGGTGAAAGGCCCTCCCTCCTTCCTCCCTCCCCTCCCTAGAGCCCTAGGGAGGTGCATCTCCCTGTCTCCTCCACACAGAGCCTGATTGCTGGCTTGCCTCTCAGTGGGATGGTTAATAAGCCCTTGGGTGACATTAATTGCCATCAGGCATTAGGGGCCTAATGAGAATCATCTCCTTTGAAGACTCCAGCATCTTGTAGCCTCAGGGCCTCCAAGAGCCAGCCAGCGCTCCCCATGCTGCACCTTCTAGCTCCAGACAGATATGGGGTGGGGGAAGGGCCAGGGCAGCTCTTCCTTGCAGGCCCCAGGGACCAAGCTGCCACAGCCTGCAGCCAGGGAGGAGGAAGGCTTCCAGGAACAGTTCAAGCCTATTTTCCAAAAAGCAAAATGTCACTTTCCTGGATAAAAAGGAAACTCACAGGGTCAAGAGGGGTAGAACCCAGTCAGACAGATGGCAGTGGGGTTCCAGCACCCAGCTGGCCTTGTTCTTGACCCTCACTCTCACTCTGGTTGGGTGCAGAGGTACAGAGGGGAGACCCTCAAGATCCACAGCCTCTGCCATATGGCTATGCCCATGGGATTGAAGGCCCTGTCCCTCCAGAGTAGGGTGGGATTGAGATGAGATCGGGCTCTAGGGGTTGGGGTGTGATACCCAGGAATGCTATAAAATCATTGCCATTGATCCAATGCCTGGTTGACGGTTGACTTGTTGTGAACCAAGGCCACCCCAGCCACCCCTACCCCTACTCGGCATGTGCCTGGGTGAGTGTGCAAGAGGGCCAGTTCCCCACCTCCACTCCCATGCCCCTTTAAAGGCTTGCAAAACAACCTGTAGGAAGGCACGTCCCCTCCTCTCCGCCTCCCTTCGCCCACGGCTGAGTGCGTCTCCCCCAGCTGCGCCCCAGACCCAGCCCGCACCAAGCTGAGCCCGAGAGCACCCGTGCGGGCCGAGAGGAGCTGGGCGCCGCAGCCAGGGTGATGCTCCCCCCTTCCCCAGAGAGTCCCACGCAGACTCTGGGGGTGGGGGTAGGGTGCCCCCTACCCGTGCCTCTGGCAGAGCGGCTGCAAAACACCTCCGGAGCTCGGTGGGGGAGTGTGCATCCTTTGAAAAGGGACCTCGGTGACTGCGGTGGCGTCTACCCTGGAGAAACGCAGCATCCGCAGCCGGCCGGCCCCATTTGGGTCCTGGCGCTAGCCTGCATTGGGGGGTGTGGGGGGAAAAAACATAATACAGGGGCGAGCGAAATCGCGAGGTCTGCCCTTGCTCGAGTCTCATTAAGGAGCCGCGCGCGCCCCCAGGCTGGGAATGCGGAATGGACACGTGGACAGAGGAGGGGGAACTGGGGGTGGGGGGAGTCTCCGTGGCGCGCGAGCCGTGGGCCGCGCGCTCCGGGGCCACGTGACCACGGGGAATTGGGGAGGGGAGGGGAGGGAAGCGAGCGCGCCGAGCTCGGCGCCCGCTACTGCCCGGGTGGGCGCTGAATCCCGGACGGGGGAGGAAGGCGGGCGAGCGCGAGTGTGTGTGTCTCTCTCGAGTCATTTACGGCGGAGCAGCCGGCGCGAGCGCCGAGGAGGCGGCGGCGGCGGCGCGGCTGCTTCGTGCAACTGTGGCTCCCCCCACCTCCTCTTCGTTTTTGCTTCCTTGATTCTTCTTCTCCCCCGACACACGTCCAGGGGAAGCCGGCCCCCCTGCCGGCACCTCCTCTCCTCCCGGCCCCATAGGCATCAGCTGTCGCCTCCCTGGCCGCGGGCTGCGCCGGTGCTGGGTGCCCTGGCCCCTGGCGCCGTGCCCTCGTCTCGCCGCCCGCAGCCAGGACTGGCGCGGCGATCCGCTCGCCCAAACTGAACCAGCGAGAGCCGATGCCCGGCTGCACCGAGACAGCGGGCGAGCGGGCGTCCGGGGGCAGGGCGGGGGCGGCGGGGAGAAGGAGGCGTCGGAGACTGTGAACCCCGGAAAAGTTCAAGGTTTGTGCAGGTCCCCTCCGGGAAGGAAAGGAGCGAAGCGGGGCAGTTGCCCCTCTGCTGAGGCAGCGAGACTTGAGAGGAGAGGGGGAGGCGCGGAGCCGCGGCGGGCTGGCCGAGCCCCTCCATCCTACAGCGTATATCATGGTCGGGAGGCTGGAGTCGACGCCCCGGGCAGGCAGGGCTCGGCTCAGGGCGCATTAGCCGGCTTTCACGCTCCCTCGCTTCTCCGAGCCCCATCTCCATGGGGCAGCCCGTGCCGGCCGCGCCACCCTCGCCTCAGCCGGCGAGCCGCTTCCCGGGCAGGCGGCGCTGAGCCCGGGCCCTGGTCGAGGAGCCAGCCCTGCGAGAGGACTAATATCTGGCAGCCCGCCTCGGGTATTCGGTCTGGGCGTCGCCTAGGGTGGTGGCGACCCGTGTCGCCGGTCTCAGCACGACTCGGAAACTTTTCCTTCTCCAGATGGATTAAAGTTGCCTGGATTTTCTGTGTCTTTGCGAAAGAAATCATTCATTTGCACCTGACCTGGGATTTTTATGCTGGGCTGCTGCAGGGCGCTTGGAGGAAGAAAGTGGCGCCTATCCATGTGGGGTTACTACCGAAACCAAGGCAATTGGGGCTTGCGTTGCAAATCTGCACCCCCGAGCGAGTTCGGATTCGAGCTGGGCCGTGGGGCCGGGAGACTCAGCAGTCGGCTGTAGGCAGCCCTCGGCACGCCCGCGGCCACCGGGCCGGACCGCACGTGCGGCTCCCCCCTCGCCTCGCAGATCCTGCAGGGGGCACCAGCCGGGGGACTTGGAGGCTCCTCCCGCCCCGAGCTGCGCCCCCACCGGCTCCGAGGGTGTAGCCGGTGGCGCCTGGGACGCCCCCTCCCCGCAAAGTGTCCCCGAATTGCACTCCCTGGCCCCTGAAGCCTCGGCAGAGACAGCCAGGCGCCACGGCCGCCCTGAGTTGGATGTGACCAAGACCAGCCCGGGGCCAAGCCGTCGTGGACTGTTGCCCTCTCGGACCCTCCCGTCCCCGCCTCGGCCATGGCCCCAGGGATGTCGGGCCGCGGCGGCGCCGCCCTGCTCTGCCTCTCGGCCCTGCTCGCCCACGGTAAGTGTCGCCGCGCGGACTCGGGTGAAGATGCGGCGGGCGCCACTGGGGGGGCACAGGGAGGACCGGGGAAAGGAGCATCCCCGACTCGCAGCCGCCGGCCCCTGAGCCCTCGGCGGGAGCTGAGGCTGCAAGCCCCGCCGAGGGGACCGAGCCCGGCCCAGGAAAAGGGTGGGGGGAGGCGGTCGCTTCAACCCTCTCCGGGTTATAACGAAGGGTTCAAACCCAAGAGTCTGGGGGCGTGTCCGCCCACGGAAATCTAGAGGCATCCGAGGGATCCGCTGGATCGCGTCCCGCCCCCACTCCGGGTCTCTCCCCTGCAGCCGGCCGGGCTGAGGGCTCTTTGGGATCCGCGGGGCTCGCGTCTTCTCCCGCCCCTGGCGCGCAGGCCGGTGCGGGGCCGCGCCGCCCGCTGCCTCGCTTCCTGCCGCGGTCCTCGGGAAGGGAAGTGCACTGGCAGGAGCCGGGGGAGCCGCGGCGGCCCGCCCGCCTGCGGTCCTGTGAGCTGCATCTAAATGGCCGGCTCAGCCGAGCCCGGAGGGCGGGGGTCTGGGGACCGGCACAGGCCGGGACCGCGGGCGGCGCGCGGAGGGAGCGGGCTCCGCGCTCTCGCGTTCTGCAATCTGTTGCGTCTGCTCCCCAGGCTCGCCCCGGGCTCCGCGGTACAGGGGGTGGGAGAGGGAGGGGCGGGGGTTGGCGCGCTTTGGCTGTGGGACGGCGGGGATACAGGTGGGGGACAGCGGGTCTCTGAACAGCCCCCCGGAGTGGGAACTCAGACCAGACAGGAGGAGGCTGCAGCGGGCCTTCCGCAAGCTGGAGACGCTCCAGGAGGCGAGGGGCGCTGACCGAGCCCGGCGAGAGCGAGCTCCGGAGAAGAATGGAGAGGCGCTGTCCTCTGCCCCCTCTCAACATGAAGCCAGCAAGGCCTGGGGACACATTTCCCCAACCAGCAAGGGCGGGGGGGGGGGTCGATGCCCCACGCTGAGGAGTGAGCCGCAGACAGGATGGAAAGGGGCTTAGATGGAGGCAGTGCGCTCTCCGCGTTCGTGGAAGGACCCTCGATGTGTCAAGCTTAGCTTTTGCTCAGATCTGCCCAGTCTCTAAGAGCCTGCCCAAGCCCACCGCCTGAGCGTGCCCGAGGTCTCTAACCGGCTGTCTCTCTCACCCTGACCAAGGCACATTCTCAAGGTTGAAAGAATAAGAAAAGGAATGGGCTCATGGAGTCGTAGGGTCCTGGGGCTAGGAGGGAGAAGGGGATTGGTGTATGAGTGGATTGGTTCTTCTCTTCTTCCCGGCTTGGGGTGACTCCAGGGGGCCTGTTTTGCGTTCAGTTCACCAGAGACAGCTCACCTCAGTTCTTTATGGGAGGAACCGGCAGGGCAGCGCGCCAGCAGCGGGGCGGGGGTAAGGTGAGGGAAGTGGGAGCAACGGGAGCCAGAAATCTCAGCTCCTGTGCAAGACTGAGAATGGGGCGGGTGGGGAGGTGGGCTGCCTATGTGCGCCCTGGAGCTGCGTGGGCTGGGCTTGTGACCTAGCCCTGGCAAGCCGGGAGTTTCCATGCCCAGTAGAAGGAAGCAGGGAAGCTCAGGCCTGGCTCTAGGTGTGGTTCTTCCTCTCCTCTTGCCCTACTGCTGCCAGAGTTCCCTTCCCGAAGCCCAGCATGGCCCCGCCTCTGGGCAGCTCAAACGCTGTCGTTAGGTCCCCACTGTCCACGTTCCTGATCCCTGAGCCTGGCGTTAAAGATCCTTTCCCCTTCCTCTCCTGCCAGAGTCCTGCCTGTTCCTAAGACTCAGCTCCAGGCAGGCCTCAGTGTCCTGGCTGTGCTTCCCTTGGAGTGTTACCTCGGCCTCCGTTTTCCTTAAGCGCCAGTGCCCTCTCTGTGCCCTGTAGTCCTGGACTGGTGGAGGAGAGAGCCTGGGCTTGTTCTTCTGTCTCTCCTCACAGCCAGTGCTTAGCACAGTGCCAGCACGCACAAGGGCCCAGGGCTTGGCTGCGTGACCGATGGAAAAGAAGATATTTGAGGAGGGGGCTTGAGCCCCGCACTGAGCGGGCATCCCCCCCAGCTGACTGTGGGGCTCCTTCTCTAAGACCCCCGGCTGAGTCCTGAAGTCTCTTCCCCATCCCATGCCTCAGTCTCCTCTTCCTCAGGGAAGGATGCCAGCAGATGCTTAAAGCGTCTGTCCCCCAGATAGATACGGCCAGAATAACAGAAATCTCCCCCCCCAAAAAAAACCCATCTCCCCCAGGACTCCCTTCTCTGGGGCTGCCTGACACCCATCCAGCCACCCGTTCCCTCTCTTAGGAAGAGGGTTGGGGATTCTGGGCTCTTCCAAGATGCTGGGGGATGGAGGAACAGTTGCAGTTTTCTGTGCCTGGCAGGCTACTGAGGCCGCAGGGTTCTGACCACACAGCCAGACTGGGAGCCAAATAGCCTGGGTTTGTGTCTGACTCTGGCGCCATCGGGCAGGGTGACCTTGGCCTGTCTGCCTTGTACTCCCCATCTTCCACAGCAGTGTGGTCTCTGGCCCATCTCCCCTTCCCACTTTCTGCCAGGCCTGCTGGGCAGGGACTGTGTGAATGGAGCCCCACTATCTCTCAGGGCCCAGCTCAGCCTGTGGGGTGGCAGAGAGGTATGTCTGACCCCCTACCCTGTTCGCAGTTCTTCCAGAGAACATCTGTGAAGGCCATTTTCTTATATCTTTGCAGAGACTTTTGGCTCCATTTGTGGTTTGAATAGGAGTTTAGGGGGGCAGAGTGGTGATAATTCTCTAACAGAGCTGATTATGGCAGTCAGTAACCCTCACTGACTCCCCACTGCGTATAGGATCAAGGGTACACTCTTTGCCCTAGCATGCAAGGCCCTTTTTGATCTTGTCCCAATCCACGTCTTCACTTCTGTGGTACGGCCCTGTCGCCGTTCTCCATGTGCCTTATGAGAACTCTCTGTTTTCTCACTTCCATGCCTTTCTGCTTTTGCACCCACCAGCCCTTCCATCTGCAATATGCTGCCTTCAGAAATCCTTACCTGGCCTTTGAAGCCCAGTTCAAATATCACCTCCTCCAGGGAGCCTCCCTAGATTAGCCTCTAGCTTCTCACCAG